CTTGATTCTGGGACTGCTGATATTCTGATGGTTGATAGAATCAGCAAACAGGACCAAGGAGAATACAGAAGGAGGGACTCCTCCTTAATGGGACATTGTATTTTTGCCCTTCCCGGACTGCCTACTGTAAAATCTTCTGCAGAGGTCTCCATGGAGTCCCTGCTATCTCCTCTTAGAGGAGAAGAAAAGTACAACTTGCCCCTTTCTCTTTCTATCTCTTTCCTAAGCCTCCATATACTCGTTGGCTTTTCTCATTACTGTCTGAAGTTCCTTTCTTCCTTTTGCCACATAGCTGCTAGCTGACCTCCCTGGAAACTTGAAGGGCTTGGCTTCCTCTCCACCTTTTTTCCATTTCTCTCTTGTCAGCTATTGAGATACACAATTTACTTACTGTTGATGGAGTCTCCAATTCTAACAAGACTTCTTTCCAATATATTTAAAAGTATTTTATTAACAAGACTTTGAATACAAAGGAAAGACTGCAGATTTCACTAGTTCACAATACTGGATATTCTATAGTTTCTATTTCTGATTTCTTGTAGCACACATAAATTCTCTAGTAGGGTGCTTTTACCACTACGTAAATCATTCAACGACATCACTTGTTTTTCAATATTTTAAGTGTTCTTTGACATTGGAGTTTTTTAAAAGCTACAAAAAATATTGTCAAAGAACTTTAAACATTCTACACAACAACATATTAATATGAAACATGTATTTTCTAAAATTTCTAAGAAGGATTTTTAAAATGAAAAATCAAGTCTGTAAGTCTGGTGTGGTAATCAGACTTACACATCAAATCTTTAGTGGGCAATAAGAAAAGTGCGGATTTATTTTTAAGAAAAAATGAATCAGAAAACTGGATAGGTTTTTAATAAGTGAGACCACGGTATACACCTAGTCTGGCATTGTTTAGTACCGAGCCTGTAGCTTACATGTTTTGATGGGAACCAGTGCTGCAGAGCCTGCTCTTCACTGTGTGGTTCTCACTGATCTTCAAGGTCCAAATCCAAAAGGCCAGGAAATGATACCAGGCCAGAATAAGGTCTCAGCTCAAGTGTGTTTCACTTAGGGAGGACAGCAATTGTGAAAAAGAAAAATAGACATTAGGCCCACTGTAATCAAACAATTATTAAATTATTACATTAAATAATTATTTTATTGTTCTTATAACATATTATTACTAATTCTAACAAAATGTGCATCATGATTAGTGACCCACAATAGTGACATCACCACATATCGTCCCACTGAGCCTAAGCTTTAAGAAGGGGACACATGACCTTTTCCCCCTGTGGACAGACCAGGGAGTAGCTGTTCATTGCTGAGAAGTCAGAGACTAACAGGGACATGCACTGAAGCTGCCATCCCTTGATTCCTCCCAAACCTTGCCCTCTGTGAGGCACATATCCAGTGTTTCTCTAGTTCTTTCCTCCATCCTGAGACCCTCCACTTGTGTCAGGGTACACATATACCTGTATCAAACAACTGAAATAAATCATTACCCTTAGAAAACCCTTATTTGCTGGGTGGTGGTGGAGCATGCCTTTAATCCCAGCACTTGGGAGGCAGAGCCAGGCATATCTCTATGAGTTCGAGACCAGCCTGGTCTACAGAGTGAGACCCAGGACAGGCACCAAAACTACACAGAGAAACTCTTTATTCAAAAACAAAACAAAAAAAAAAAGGAAAAAAGAAAACCCTTATTTTATCCTGATGATTTGTACATGTCTACGTACACATCCAGAGACCAAGAGAGATGGACTGGTCTGAAACAGCTCCTGTTAGTCTATGTGCAAGAAGGCTGATTCTCCTCTAAGTGAACTTTTAGGGAGAATCTCCTACTTACCATCTTATGCTCATTTATAACATCTGTGACATTATTGCAGTTTACAGGTCATCAGGAGACCCAGAGACTTCAGTCGTCAAATAATGAAGCAGATGCAGATTCCCAAAGCCAAACATTAGGCCCAGCTCTGTTAGTCCTGAGGAAGATGGAGAGGAAATATGAGAGGAACCAGAGAGTTCAGGGACACCATGAGAACATGGGCCACAGAATCAACTGACCAGGATTCAAGAAGGCTCAGAGAGATCAGGGAGCCTGTATGGGTCTTACATAAATCCCCCACATATATGTGATGACCAGTAGCTTGGTGTTCCTGTGGGATTCCTAACAGTGGAAAGAAGGGCTGCTTCTGACTCTTTTGACTGCCTGTGGTACTTTTCCTCATACTTGGTTGCCTCATCCATCCTTGATGTGATGGTACATGCCTGGTCTTATTGTAGCATATTGTGCTGTGTTTGCTTGATGACCATGGGAGGCTTGCTCTTTTCTGAGGTGGTAGGAGTAGACTGAGGGGATGGGGAGGAAAACTGTGGTTGCAATGTAATATATGAGAGAAGAATAAAATCTAAATGGTTCTGATAAATTTTTCTTCTAATTTGTAGAAATGACCACTCCTAGCAAACAAATAGTTCACAAGGAGGACACAGCATTTTTTAACTGGTAGGAATTATTTGAGTAAGTTAAAGCTTTAATAGTCCCTCCTCTGTTGTATATTTATTGACAGTCAGATATTTGTCTATGTTACCATTAACATATATTAGAATTATATTATTAAAAAACTGATTATGTACAGTAGAAAATTTCAAAGAAACCTCCAAAATTTAGAACTTAAAAAAGAAATGCAATAAAGCAACCCTTGGAGGCATCACCATCCCTGACCTCAAACTCTACTATAGAGCTATAGTAATAAAAACAGCTTGGTACTGGTATAAAAACAAACATACGGACCAATGGAATCGAATTGAAGACCCTGACATTAATCCATGCACATATGAACACCTGGTTTTTGACAAAGGAGCCAAAACTATACAATGGAACGAA